TATACGAATTTACTGTAGCAAATAAATATAAATAAACATCAAATAAAAATTATTCAATATTTATTTCACCCCCTGTAATATCATGATTTTATTTATAACTGAGTGCTACATCTGTCTTTTTTAACCAATTATTTTCTACAATAACATTATATGAATCTATTTCAATTACTATTGTATCAAAAGAATTTATTTTTCTAATTAACTTTAATTATTTCTAAGAATTTTTTTCTTTTACTATTTATATTAATCATTATTATTTTGAACTTCTTTTATATTTTCATATTGAGTTTTTTGAGTAAAGTAAGAGTATAATGCATTTAAAAAATCTTAAATCAAATAATTAATAATAGTTCCTTATTTTTAATGTAAGTTTAGCAATATAAAATAGTAGATTTTTATTTGTCATTCTTAGATACATTGTATATTTTATAAGATGTAAGATATTTATCATATTTATTAGTCTCTACAGTATTTATTTTCTTTGATTCAGAAGGTCTTGTAGTTATTTCATTTTCTTTTGGATGAGTTACTTCCTATAATATTGCAAAACTATTTCCCTTAGTTGGTTTTCTTGCAATTGGCTTTCTCAATTATTTAGTTATATTTATGATAAATTTTAGATTCATTAACAATTGTTGACCATTTGTTATATTTGCAGGTTAATTAAAGAATTGTTAAAAGACGTAAGAGTTAACCATATTTATTACTAGAGGTATAGTAGGAGGTTTTCTTTTTTCTTTAAATTTAGTTATTCTTTTTACTGTAATATTTTTTATTAATTTTCCTTTTTTTTAATAATATCTTTTTCATTAACAATTCTTCTTTTTCAATTCACAAATGTTTCTTAGATTAATAGATTTGAGAAACTAAAGAAAGTTCTATATTATAACCTTCTTGAGATACACCTTTAGTTTAAAAACTGATTTTTGTTATCAGTTTCCTGTTATTGTAACATTAGTGCTAACAATTATAGCATTTGTAAATTTGTAGTATTGTTACTTTGGGTGATATTATTATTATTCATATTGACAGGTGGCAGTGTAAAGTATTTATGGTATTGTTTGGTGAAATTGGATTAACAACAGGTTGCAGGTTAATATTTTATTGGTTATTTATGAAGGTAACAAGTAGGCAGTTACTTTTTATGCATTCTTGTTATTCACAGTTGAGGCAGGTGATGTTTCCTCTTGGTTATTAGTTATTATTTTAAACATTATAATTTGGCTGGTTATTTTGTACAAATGCTTGCTGATTATTTTGTTGGTATGGCTGATATTGTTGTTGTGCATTTTGTCGATTGCCTTGATAGCCTTGACTATTCCTTTATTATTATTACTTACATTTAATTGTTGTACCTGTTGTGTTAGGATAGCAATAGTATTATTCAATGCACTCACCTGAGTTAAAGCAGCGGCTATGATGTATTTAATAACCAAAATAGTAATAAATAAATGCAATTTTCTTACTAAATTAACATAATTTTTATCGGAATAAAATTTATGATTTGATATCGGATCTCTGATCTGAAACAAAGATCGACTCAAATGACATATATGCGGATCGGCAATTAAATTATTCATTACCAAATATAGATATTATTTCAGTAAAAGAATGAATACTTTTCAGCATATTATATATATATTTTTTTTGATAGTTTTATCCCTTTCTACTGCAAAGCGCTCAGATAAAAACTTCGCTACTCGAATATCTTTTAGCCGGCCACCCTCTTTTTCATGTACATATTACATAATAATAAAGTGTATGTTTTCGATCGATTTTTAAACGTGTATAAATAATTCGCAGATATAAATTTTGCGCTTTATTTCCTACGATGTGAAGTTAAAAAATAAATTAGCTGAGCAAGAAAACTTTAACAATTTTTTTTTTGTAACGGTTCCTTAAAGAATTTTTTTTTGACGTTTGAAGTCCGTGTTCGAGTCTGAAATTTATCTCCATGGAATTCATCGTTGCTTCGAATTTTCATTAATATTAACAGTTCTACTGTCATATTAACACTATTTAAAAGACTTTCCAATTGTAAAATGGATGAATGGATGCTTTTTTTCAAATCAGCGTAGTCTACCATTCCTCCTTAACTTTCCTATTTGTATGTACTCTACGAAAGTATTTAGGTTGTTAAACTTTTCCCTAACGAAGCTTTAATATTGATAAGATCTGACTTTTTTGCTTGAACATTTGAGGTTATCGATGGAAAGGAAAATAAAGTGAAGCTTGCTTTTGAATAATTATATTCAAGTGGAATTTTGAAGAAGAATATTTTTTTTTTGATGAATTCTAAAGATAACAATTAATTATTATAAAAAAATTTATTAAGTGTGTATTTTAATAATTACAATACGAACATAGCTAAAGTACCAATGCTAGCTAAACCAATAAAGGCATCAACATTACTTAAGCTACCACTAGGTTGAGCAGCGTTCTTAATATTTTGAGAATATTTAACACGATTTAACTCGGCAACGATCGAAAAAACATTTTGACCATCATTACCACCCTGATCATAAAAGTCTACAGCAACGAAATTCGGAATTCTGTTAAAAGTTTGTTGACATTGTTGAGCGTGACCAGCCAAACTAGCAGAATTCGTTACATTTGCCAGACCAGGTTGAGGTAATTCAATTTGTTCACCACCCGATGAAAATGGAGGTAATAAGCTACTATACAAGAAATGATTTAGTACGTACAATGGAAGTTGTGTGCCTTTCGGTCTATCAATTGTACATTGCCATGCATTTGGATTGGTATTCTCGAATGGGGTCTCAAATACATAATCAAATTCTTTCATTAACCTGTAAAAAATCAATTGAGAAGGAGTGGATATTAAAAGCCACGAAAAGATATAATAATTTGATTTTGTTGCTTACCATGGAATGGTTCCATCAGAAGAAGGATTGATGAAATTTACCAGTCTTTTATCATTATCAATCATTTTAGCTAAACTAGGCCAATTACCATCTTCTTGAACATGTCCAAATTTATCTAAGCCGGATTGCATATAAACATCATTAAAAACGGATGTAGGCACGTTAGCATTATTTTCCCATATAATTGTGACAACCTCATTTGGATTCTCATTTAACCATTCGGCAATTGTTGTTAAGGTATTCACTGCGGGACCCGCATCAAATAAATTACATGAACCATGACATAAGTGCAACTCTTTTGGATTGTCATCAGGAAAAACGGAATTCAACATAAGCCCTCTAACACCATCTTTAAGTTGTATTGAAACGTTAAAATTTTGATTTGCCGACGCTTGTTTCCCAGCTGCATATGAATTGTGTGTCGTCACGTAAGCTATGTCGGAATATAATCTATCACAAAATTCAACATAGCCATTACATGCTTTTTGTGATTTAACTATCGATGCTAATAATATTATGGAATATATGACGAATGATGTTACCTTCATTATTGAATTATAAGTTTTTTGGTGGAAGGTTGAAATGTGAGATTTTGTGAATTTTATTCAAAAATTTTTTTTTTTGTGGAAATGTCGATCATCGCCCAAATTATCATTACACGCAAAATTGATTTGTATAATAAAAAAATCTTATTGATATAATAAGAACTCACAATAAGCCACATATCCATTTGATAAATTGTTTATAATAAAAATTTTGTTTTACAATACGCCAAATACAATATTTGATCGTAAATATCACATGATATACTATTTTAACAAAATTTTTATAAAGATAAATTTGTTTTTAAATTGTTTAAAATACTTTGTATTATTATTATTTTTTTTTATTTTTGATAATCCAAATATAATCAAATATAAATTACAAAAATAACAAATACATGTAATTACTTTATCAAATCTTTAATTAAATACTACAACAAAACTAAATAAAGTAAATATTAGTTTACAAGGATTATCAAATATAATATAATCATCATAATCCCTCTGGCTCGCCAAATCCAGAGAGGACCTTATTAAAATCACAGATATTGCAAACAGCTTCTTCGCTTTCAACGAC